TAGCAGACATTATATTCATCAACTGAAAATGTAATCTGAATCCAAGGAAGTAACAATTTGCTCTGTGTCTGATGAATTATATTCAGTGTATGTTTGTTCTGAAATTATGACATGATTGAAACTTGTAACTCGCTTTTGTGTCTTATTAAAATATTACTCAGGGACAGACTGCTCTTGTTAATGTAAAATACCATTAAATTACCAACCGCATACAGGCTTAGGTTTCATTTAATCTCTTTTGCATTAGTCTTCTAGAACGAGGTAAACGGCAGTGAGATATGGTGTGCAACCTGTCTTCCATGTCAAGATCAGGATTTTGTATTTTGTATATCAGCTGCTTTCTAACTTCATCCCTGGTCAATGGTGTCACAATTGCATCACCAATAGCAGATATTTCTTCTTGCTCCACACATCTGGAAATAGATGGGGAATTTTTTCCAATCTTAATCCGTAAGTCAAGCCCCTTTTTTCTGTGTTGTTTCCTGTTTACCTCACACTTTCCCACTTCATTGCAGCATAAAAATAGAAATAAACATTGAAAAAGGGCAAACCCGACTGACCTTTCGAACCTAAAAAGTATGGGTACTCACAGAGGACAAGGGTGAGCTTCTACTATCGCTTCCACCGTCGGTAGGGCCTTCACAATTGGCTTCACATCCCCGAAGACCACAGGCCCTCCCGCGGGCAGCGACCCTTTGTCTTCGGTTGCCTTTTCAAGGAAGTAGCATCTGTTCACCATCTCCACGCAGCGACGCTCGATCATCTCCAAGTACAACAAGAGGTTGTACGGTGTGACGTTGGTGTTTCCACCTAGATCAGGAGATGCGGTCAGTGTGACGGTGGCGGTGAGCTGCAGCTCGGCCCGGCTTCTGTCGGGGTCCCCGCAGCGCACTCACCCAGCAGCTCGAGCAGCGGCGAGTTGTCGCACTTGACGAGGTGGAACAGCGCCTCGATGCCGCGCAGCACCCTGTTGCGCAGCTCGGTCCAGCCGTCCAGGCGCCTCTGGGCGTCGTCCGCCTCGGCCGTGAGCCCCTCCAGCTCGCGGCGCAGCCCGTGCAGCTTGTCCTGCTGCTGCTGCTCGCGCTGCCTGTTCGTCACGTCCTGCTCGTCTCGGCTCGCCCGCAGCTCGGACACCTGCTCTTGGAGCGACTCGAGCTGGAACAGGATAAAGATTGTGAGAGACCCGTGGCATTTTAGCAAACGGGTCAGTCGGATCTCACCTCGTTGTTAAGCTCGTTGACATAGTTGAAGAGGGCGAAGTTTTCCTCCTCTTGCTTCAGGAATTGCGCAGACAGGCGGTCGATGTCAGACTCCCCGGAGAACTCCTTGATCTGCTCCAGGATGGCCTGGTACTGCTGGATGAGGCGTTCGGTCGCCTCGCGCTGCTGCTTCTTCTTGAGGGCCTCCTTGGCCTCTAGGTCGACGAGCACGCGATGCTGCCCCTTGACGGCGAGGAACTCCTGCAGCTTGGTGTCGTGGTCGAAGCGGCGCTGCAGCTCGCGCATCTCGGCGCTCTGCGCGATCAGGTCCTGGCGGCCGCGCTCCTTGAGCACGCTCAGCTTGGTCTGCGACTCCTCGCGCTGGTCGTATGCGTGCGTCGCCTGCTCGATCAGGTCGATCATGATCTTCTTGCCCTGGTTGAGCTTGGAGACGAGCGCCTCGTACAGGACGTTGAACTGGGCGCGCTCCTTGAGCAGGTGGTCGATCTCCTCCCGCAGCGCCGCGTTGTGCGCGAGCTGCTTGTTGAACTTGACCGTGGCCTGGACGGGACAGAAGGAGCTCGTCAGTGGCGTTGCTGGTCGTCCGGACCCGGCCCGGCCCCCGGCCCCGCACCCACATTGTGGAGCCTGTTCTCCAGCAGGTTGACGCTCTTCTCTCTCGCCACAGCCTGCTCGATCAGCTTGTGGTCTGTGACGTCGTCCTTGCGCAGCGCGGCCACTTCCTTCTCCACCTTGCGGATCTGGTGCTCCAGCTCGTGCAGCTGCGTCTTCTCCGTCCGGATGGCCTCCTGGAACCTGGACTGAACCTGGAGAAGGAAGTGAAAGCAAGCGCCAAAGTCAGCAACTCCCCCTCCCCGCCCTCCCACAGCTAGCTGATCAACTGATCGTCACCTCCATGAGGAACGCCAGGGAGTCATTTTGCTTGGCCTCTTTCGATTCGATCCTCTTCGAAGCGGCGACGTTGAGGTTTGTGATGAGTTCATTTCGCTCCGAAAGAAGGGATTCAATGACTTTCCTAGAGGACAAAATTTCCAAATACGACAGAGTTATAGTTTTTTGAAAGTCTCTCTCTTTCTGGTCCCACACATCGGTAGCCTGACACCTGCGGTGGCGTGTACTTCCTCATCATTGGCAGGCACGGATCCATGGGCAAGGGGGTGAGGATTCCCCTCAGGCCCTTACCAAAACGTTTGATAGGGAGGCAAAATGCAGAAGTTTCCGTCTGCCTTGCCTTGTTCCCCTTCACAGTGTCCTCACAATGAACGTCTCGCGAGGCACCGCTAATGATAGCGCCCGTCACGCGCTGGGTAGGCCAGCCCGCCAACCAGCTGTGTGAAGACGGCGGCCCGCCCGGAGCGCCCGCGGGCGGCGGCCCCGGGCAACAGAACGTTTATCGCCCAACTTTACCCTACGTCACCTCGGGGGACGTGTATTGTGGGAGCACTTTAGACTAGGTCTGGATCCGATACAGTAACGGTGTCGTGACGAGTTTTCACGCCACACGCCACGTCGCATGTGTGAATGATCCGATCAGACAAACTACAGGAAACGGGGATGGCGCGCAGTACCTCTGTTTATTCAAGAAAAATTTGGCCTCCTCTGAAAAAGACTCTTTGTCCCCTTCCATGATGCGATAGTGGCGCTGGAGCCGGGACAGCTCCTGCTCTGCTATTGCATCGACCTCAAGGTCATCTTTCGGCTCTTGTTTCTGCATCTTGCCTGGAATAAAGCATGGTGCACACCCCGCCATTTTAATCCACACGTACTTGCACCTCTCGATATCTCGATAACATGCCAGCAAAACGAAAACACAAACAAACAAAAAGTAAAAAAATTGTATTTAAAGCAAAATAGACCAATGAGTTATATGCTTGAGTAAGCCGCTCTTGTCTAGTCAATAGAGACCATGGATCTTTTTTCAGCTGCATGATGATTGAATTGAATTCTAATTAATAAAAGTAATTTTCTAATTTAAAATGTGAATGAAACCAAAATAAACAACGGGTTGAAGTGTCATTCTTGCCTTCGGTTACGCCCTCCTCTGTTGCACTCAAGTCCCGGTTGCCATGGGAACCGATCAGGGCAGAGGAGCGCGTGTTTACATTCGGCCCGCCAACAGGAAATAGCTGCCTTCTACACTTTCTTGTACTACTTGATCCAAGAGGCACACCGCTTCCGGTTTTCATCCCGGCTCAGCCTCGACCCCTCCCTCCCCCCACCCCCGCGCTGCCTTGCTGCTATCATCAGGCTCGCCCCCTTCCCATTGACAATCCATTTACTTCGTGTTCGCTTACGCTTGTTGTTGAGCGCTTACTTTAGGGAACCATGGCTGATGACAGAGAACCCCCACCGTTGTTCGAAAACGTCGACATTAGCAAAAATTACGAAGATGCGAGTGACGATATTTTCAGTTCTGCCATTGATGTGAGTAATTCCCACCTAGCGGCTGTGATGTGTTGTGGTTAATGGGCCGGTCACATCACACATCATGTTGGCCTATTCATTCATGTTGTATTATAGCGATAAGTTGATCGATTACCTTTTTTTCTGAGAAGAATTATCCGTTTATCCTACTTGCTAAATCGACACTTTCCTTGACGGTAATCTAATCAGCCCAACATTAGAGTGACAACGCTGCTCTCTGGCAGGTTATGTAGAGGGCATCATGAAATGTCAGTTTGACACACCTCCTTTCAAATGATTTTGAAAAAGTGCGTAGTATCTATATAAAAAGGGTTGAAAATCGTATTTTTCAGACTCATCTTCTGAACTTTCTGTGGCATAGTAATTATTACATTCAAAACATCTAAATTGACCTTGAAAATATGTTGGCAAAAACTATGTGTAAACCACTACAAGTTAATATCACTTCACTTAAATCATGGATGTGGTAGGGTCATTCATGTAGATGTGTCATTTTCCTTTCAGGACATTGGTGGATTAACCATATCGAATAATAGACCATCTGGATTGAATGGTCAATCTGAAGAGTCTCCTCAGCCGGAACAAGATGATGACGATGATGATGATGTTGGTGGTTTCTTGGACAGACCAGTTCCAACACCAGCTCCAAGATCTGTAGTTGCCAATGATGCCAAAGAGGTACAAGTTATTTCTGTCCATCCCCTTATTTTGTTCTTGTTTTTTTTTTCCTTTTTACGTAATTAACTTTTTACTTATCTAAAATTGTATCTCATGCAGCAAATGGAGAGAGATGGGGGTGACCAATTCCTTGAAATAATTGTGTCAGAACCTAGTAAAAGAGGAGAGGGAATGGGTTCATTTGTTGCTTACAAAGTTATAACAAGGACCAATATGAAACTTTTTAGAAAGCAACAGTTTTCAGTGTATCGGCGATTTTCAGATTTTCTTGGTCTGCATGATAAGTTGGTGGAGAAATACTTAAGATCAGGACGCATAATTCCACCTGCACCAGAGAAAAGCATGATTGGTGGGATTACTTACAGTATCAGTCTTCCTTCAGTATACATTCTTAAGGCTGAGTTTTAATTTTCTGATTATCTCTCAGGAACAACTAAAATCAAAATGTCAAACCAAAATGACCAACAAAGTTTGACTGGAGACTTTGTTGAGAAACGTCGCGCAGCCCTGGAAAGGTACATGAAACGTACAGCTGCTCACCCAGTGTTGTGTGTTGACCCTGATTTCCGAGAGTTCCTCGAGTGTGGTAAATGAACATTAAGACCTCAGAACTTTGCTTCATCTGAGTATTTGTATTTATGTTTCTATATGCCATATTTTTGTGTGTGTAGAGGATGAACTTCCACGAGCAAACAGTACATCAGCTTTGAGTGGTGCTGGGGTGCTACGTCTTTTTAACAAAGTTGGTGAAACAGTCAATAAAATCACTTTCAAGATGGATGAGAATGACCCTGTAAGTATATTTTTCAATATTTCTTATTTGTCACATTAATTAACAAAACAAATAATATCTCTTTTAATCTAATCAAGTGGTTTGAAGAGAAGACTACCCAAATGGAAAATCTAGATAACCAGTTACGAAAGTTACATGGAAGTGTAGAATCCATGGTGATCCATCGTAAAGATTTAGCTGTCCTTACATCTTCATTTGCTAAAAGCGCTGCTATGCTGTCTAATTGTGAAGAACACACTGCTCTTTCAAGAGCATTGTCTCAGTTAGCTGACACTGAGGAGAAGGTAATGCTGTTTAATTATTGCTTTTTGTAAGACTATTCTTCATTGTAGGTAATCTATCACAGTATTTCATGCCAATATTGAAATTTCTCTTATGCTGCTCTTCTATTCAGGTTGAAACTCTTCATAATGAGCAAGCTAATACAGACTTTTCCATTCTTTGTGAACTTCTTAAAGATTATATTGCTTTAATCGGAGCTGTCAAGGTATTTTTATTAAATTATTTTTGATTGATGTTGATTTATAGACTACAATAGCCTACAGTTACCCTAATCAACCTCTTTTTCGTGCAGGATGTGTTTCATGAAAGAGTGAAAGTATACCAGAACTGGCAGCATGCACAGTTGATGCTTAACAAGAAACGGGAACAAAAGGCAAAACTGGAGCTTTCTGGTAAACCAGATAGGGGTAACACAGCTGGAGTAGAAGTTGTTGAGGTATGTAAATTTCCTCTCTGTCATATTAAAGTGGAAATCAGTTTGTTTGTTTCATAACTCTTAAAACAAATTATTTCATATAGTGGCAAGCAAAGGTTGAAAGAGGTCAGGAGGAATTTGATGCAATCTCTCAAATGATCAAGAAAGAAATGGAACGTTTTGAAATCAATAGAGTGAAAGACTTCAAACAAACTGTTGTAACATATCTTGAAAATTTAATGTTACATCAACAGCAAGTAAGAAATTTCAGATTTTTGTTCCTTATTTTCTCCGTATTGTCACAGTTTATTAATGGTCTTTTCTTTTCTTCTCCATTTGTAGCTAGTCAAGCATTGGGAGGCATTCTTACCTGAAGCTAAGGCCATTGCCTAGTTCTGTAATGACTCTCTTGAAATGGTAAAGTGGACTACTGTTTGAAGCCTTGTATCGTCAAGTGCTCATTGAATTTGGATTGCAGGGTGTATTGGAGGGTCTCAGTGTTGTATCGGATACTGGTAATTTTGTACTTCAATACATTCAGACTTAAGGAAGCTGGGAGGACAGAAATGAGCAAACGACTTAAGCAAACATTAAAGAGTGACGGGTATAGAGTTCTTTATGTGATATCTATTTTTAGTTACTCTTATCTTCAATTAATCACGCTGTATGTTAAAGTTTGTCTGTTAATTTTAACGTCACCCAGACTTAGTCTTTTGTCTTCAACTCTGAACTATATCACTGAAGGGCCTTGCGTCATAATTTCAATCAAGTTCTAATTTTCTCAATTTGAGGAAGTACCATTCTGTTATATTTGGAAATGTGATATTCTTTCTATACCAGTGGCTTACTCATTTTCTGTTCAAGTATTATAAATATTATCTCTATATAATATATAAAAATATATATTAATATAAATTCAGACTGATTTACTCTGAAATTAACAATGTATGCCAAATGGAGTTGTAGACCTGTTAAAACAATCTCATCTTTGTTTTTTGTATCAATGCAGGCAGATCTCATGTAATGCTTGCTTTGAATTTTAAAACCTCAATTTGATCGGAAGATATTGTTACCTTTTCATCTTGTTAGACTGCAATATTTGGAATGTGTGTTGAACGCAACTCCAAAATTGAGAGACAGATCAGTTTTAAGATGCTCTTTCCATCTCTTGTGCGAAAAATTGTCCTAAGTTTCCATTTGAAATTATTCGTTTTGTATAACCAGTGGTCATGTTATGAGCTTTAAGATATATATCTATATAAAAATATGTTTCTTGCAAATTGTGTTTTATACTGTTTAATGTGTTATATTGTACTATTGTTACTTTTATAGCCCTTCTTACTTTTAAAGTGGAAAAAAAATTGTTTGTCAAAATGTGAGGGGAACTTTTGTCACGTATGTTTATTTTTTTTATTATTTGCTAGTTATCATAAAAAGCCTAAGTCTACATAGAATTATTTTGTAATCACTTTGGGAGTTCAAAGAATGGTGCCAGAGTCTACCTTTAATCTGGATTTCCCTATTTAAGTCAGAGGAACAACCCAGTTTCTGTTCTGAAACGCTGAATGTCTCCAAGGTCCTACAGTAGGTTGTGTCACTTGGGGTATCGTGCTCTCATTGGTTGACTGATCGTGACGTCAGCGTCAGTTCGCTCGCGCCAAATTTGAAAATACCTGTTAACTCAATTTTATTTTAACAGTAATTAACCGAACGGACTATAAAAATATACCATCGGTGTGGCATAAACAAGGTGTGGGTAAACTTTGAATGATGAATTTCAACCGGATCGTTTGTTTGCGTACTGATATGTAACGGATAAGAGTCAACCTAACCTCTCATCCAATATGGCCGCCCTTCTGGCACCGGCGGCCGGCAGATTCTGACAGATGTCATCCGTTTCATATCTCGCTACAGAACGACCATCCAAGTCCAAACGTGGTGCAATATCTAAGTAGGGGACAAAATAATGATATTCTCGACATTATTTTTCCTTAAAATGAATATTGTGAGTGAAATTGTGTGAACACTCGATCAGCTATTTGAACTACGGCGCGAGAGTACTGACACTGACGTCACGATCAGTCAACCAATCAGAGCACGATACCCCAAGTGACACAACCTACTGTAGGACCTTGGAATGTCTCCTCTTCAAGTTTGCAGTTACCTCTTTCAGTTGTCTTGATGCAGTAACTAGTAAACTGATGTGCATTTCATAATGTTTTTGTGTTCATACATTCCAAAACATATTACTGAGATTTATGTACATGTTCTATAAGCAGTTGGACCCTCAATAAACGGTCATATTTGTTTAGATGAGAGTGTTTTTTCCAGTGCCTTCATTTTTCCCTTCATAACAACACGGTACCAAAATATTTAGCAATGACATAACACGTAACACATGCAGAAGCAGAGGGAGTGACTAAAGCATGTTCAGTGTATGTTCAAGGAACTCCTCTATCTCCACATGTGGCTTAAACCACTTATGAGTGTGAATATTTTAAATTTAATTTAAATTTAAAGTTTGCAAGTCGTTGTTTTTTGTTTTGTTTTTCTTTAATGTCTCATCTGAACTTATTACTCACTCAGAAACGTTGGTATGGGAAACTTCGGAAATGCATTAGTTTTGGTGTTGGATTGTGAACGTCAACTGAACATACCCTCCCCTGGGTTGGTTGATGCGGCCCAAATATTATTTTGATATTGACAATCTATTCCAGCATCAAGGTTCTATAGTGTAAGTGCGAACTGTAAGTCTTGACGAACTTGACGTTATTTGAAGGTTTACTTTTTTAATGTGACCGAATACTGTCAAGAATTGAGGTTAGTGTTTTTGTTTTGGTTGCTTTGTTTATTTGTTTTTCCTTACCTCTTACCTGGCTGGATTTTCCAAGTTATTGTTGTTGTTTTTTTGTTGGTTTGTCTTTTTAGTTTTGGGTATCGGTCTTGTTTACGGTGGGGTTGAATAACCTCTGACGACTAAGTTTGTTTTCTTCAAAGTAGTCTGGTTGTAAAATTATTTTCCTTTGTGGGAGAGCTAATCGAGGAAAATACTTGTGTGAAGCTAACCTTAGTTTTGATAACTTCCAACCAAATAACTTGCAAGGTAAAGGGGTACCTGTAAGGATCATTATTAAATAAAATAAAAAAAAATAAAAATTGAACGAACTCGAACTTGCCGAGCATCCACGCAGGCGTCTCACAAATTTTCAACAATTCTTTCTATTTTTGTGAAAGGGATGTGCTACTATGTGTTAAAATCTCTTTCAATCAAAACTTTGATTTTTGACAGTAAATAAATGGCTGCCACTGTGAAACCTCAAATAAACCCCCCTTATACACTTTTGTCACGGCTTGGGAATCTGTTGCAAACCTCACAATGGAGTGACTGTACTTTTTTGGTTGGAGATGGAGATAATAGACAGGCAAGTATCCGAACACCTAAAGGACATGTTCTATAAAATATTAATACAACTAATCAAACGCCAATGGTATTTTTTTCAGGAATTTCATGCCCATCGTATTTTACTTGCTGCGTGCAGTCCTGTTTTTGAGGCAATGTGTTTTGGTCCTCTTGCGGAAAAAAGTGCTATTTTAATTCCTGATCTAGAGCCTAAAGCATTTCAAGTTCTGCTTCAGTATGTATCTTGCTTTTTAGATGATTGGCATACATTTATTACTGTGGTAAAACTTGTTCACCTTGTTCCTTTTCTTTCTGACAATAGGTATGTGTACACAGACAATGTTCAATTTTCTAGTGTTGAAGAGGCTTGTGATGTATTGTATGCTGCCAAAAAGTACTTGATCTCTAATCTATCGCAACTGTGCCATTCTTATGTGAAACGTAATATGCAAGCTAAAGATGTGGTGACGGTATATGAATACGCCAAGCTTCTGGGAGAAGATGCCTTGTATGAGCCATGTCTGTTGGTATGTCCTAGAGATTTTTTTTTTAAACAGAAGTAGTCTATTAAATTTCCAGTTTGTTAATTTTATCTCTCTCTTACCATAGATGCTGAAAAAGTATGCAGTTGAGGTTCTTAATGATGCCTCTCATCATTTATCCCCAGCTTCAGTTGTTGAGCTTTTGGGATCTGATGCCATTAATGGTTGTGAATGCTGTCTCATTGAAGGAGCACTCTCATGGGCTAAACGTGAGTGTGAGGAACAAGGCATGCTCTCAACAGTTTCAAATCAACGTCTTATTTTAGAGGAATGTTGTGCATGGGGACAGCTGCGCTTTTTAACTCTATCTCCTCAGCAGTTCAACCGAATTTGTGAGATAGATGATCTCTTAACAAGGGAGGAAGTAGTATTCATAAAGGTGGGCTGCGTCTCTAAAATATTGTTAAAGAGTACACTTTGGAAAATTCTTCTTCACTTTAAATTTAAAAATCTGTTTTAGGAGTTTTTGCATTCAAACAAACAACTTGATGACAAGCGAGGAATGCAGTGTGTTAACATGTGCATTAGCACCACTTGTCCTGGTTCATTGTCTTTTGATGATATAGCCCACAATGAGAAGAATTCAAATGTTGTGATAGTCAGAGACAAATGGAAGCGTCGAAGGTTGAACATGGTCCTGACAGGTCCTCAGAAATCTGAAGGCACCGAAAAGTGGCTTGAGCCCAAGAGTATAATTTCTCAACAAGTGGTAAATCCTAATCTATCTCTTGCAATTCCTCCAAGTATAAGTGATATTCTCAGGACCCGACAGTAAGTTTTAATATCATAATTTATAACACCTTAATAATATCTCCCATTTTCCTATTTTTTTTCATTTTTTAAAAAAATGTATGTTGTTCTAATTTGATTTTTCTTCTTTTTTCTTTATTTGTAGAGAGGTGGGATATAGGCTATCCTTATGCCGTCGCCCTTTATTGAAACAGTCTGCAACTGTTTTAGGCCCAATGGAGCTGCAGGTTGCAATGCGTGTTAGTGCTCCTATTGATTTGCGGGCCATTCAAGTTTATTCTAGACTCATCCCAGCTTCAGCTGTGTTACAAAGGTGCAATTATTACTGTGAAAAGCTAGAAGTCCAAATTCTTGACGAAACCGGGAAATTGCTGTCTGATAGCCAGTTCTCTGATCGGGTAATGTATTCATTATAATCAGGGAACAAAACCTTTTTGTAATCTGAAATGAGTTTTGTTTTAATGTACTTTTCCTTGCAATTGCAGGTGCAGTATAACACAGAAATTATGGTTCATTTCAAAAAGTTTGTGCGACTCACTCAAGACCGAACATATAATATTGTAGTAAAATTGTTGGATGAATCTGCAGAGTATCCTCTCAGTTTTCTTGGTCAATTTGCAAGGTCTCAGGAAATCAACTTTGATTTCATGGATAGAACAGCCAAAGTAGGATCAGGTTTTGTTAACCGGTTGGATATGGGTTTTATCAGAGGTTTTGCATACTCTTAGCTTTTGTTAAGTTATGGTAGCAATAATTGATATGGAGTGAAGAAATAAGGTATGTATTGATATCTGTTATCAGTATCCAAAATTGGATAGGTATGATAATTAATGATCAGTATGTATAAGTGCTAGTTTGTGTGATATTTGTGAAGATACAATGCTTGAAATGCCTTTTTGGGAATCGGTTTTGGATTTGATCTTTTTCAATGGCTTAAGGGAATAAATTTCCCCATCTAATGACGCTGGAATTATTTTCTGAAACGAATATTTTGAAAAGAACTAAAAAACAAAAACAAAACAGCTATTGGTGGTGGTTTCTTTTTAAAAAAGTTTCTTGGATTTTAAAGGAATTTAGAAATTGCTGCCTCATATAATGAACCAACAATGCTGTATTACTAATATTAGAGTTTTGTGTTAGTTTCTCTCTTTAATTTCATTTGTTACTTTTAGCTGGCTTGTGAGACGTCTTGCATTAGTTGGTATATTTATTAGTTGCTGTTTATGAGGCTATCATAATTTTGTGACGTGATATCAATCAGGGGTGTAGTGCTACACATTTTTAATTGTCTCTCTTACTCTATTGTTATTAGTTGTATTTCTAATCTTTGAATGAGTATGCTTTATACAGGTACTGTAGTATGAAGAAAACGACAAAAAAAATGCTGTGATATTTTAAATCTTTATCTGTAAGTTATGAACAATAGCTTTATTGTTTAATATTGATGTCTGTTTTAGGCACATATTTGTTATTTAAAATGTCAATTTATTCAGAATCCCAGATAGACCATTTGACTCAAAACCCATATTTTTATCTGCTTTCATTGCTTTTTTTGTTTTTTCTGTGTGCATGCTTCTAAAACAATGACCTTTTGAATGCAGAAGAGGATGCCTCCTATGAAAGTGATATGAATGGATATGGCCTAGAGCATTACAAAGATTATATTATTGTTTTTCTTTCTGTTTTACTTACAAGTCACTTGGTACATGTATCAATAAATACAAAATATATTACCAGTTTGCTCATTACAGCCAAATAAACAGTTTTTAAAATATTGTGGCATTAAGTAATAATTATTTGTTGATTTTGGTTGTAATGTGTTCAGACTGGGTTATGCTTGCCATGAGATCTGATCCCACCAGAATAAGTAACAATGCAGAACTGTCATACTTGTCATTACTTGTGTAGTATGCGCTCAACATTGCTGTTGTGGAGATAAATAAAAAAAATTGACATAAGTTTGCAGTGGCTTTAGTTTTCAATTTAATTGTAAAAGACATAAAGTAGGTGCAATTTACTTTTTGTTTTTCATGTTTCTGTACCTAGTATTCAAAGGATACTGCCATACATGTTTGTTTTTCTCGGTTTATTCTATGGGCATGTTGCGTTTGAATCGTTGTGTTAGCCATATTTTTAATATTAGACTTTCAATGAACAAACAAAAAGAAAACGGTGGGATGCTTGGACTTGAAAAAGTCTGCATGGCTATACAGGCATTCCTTTTTTGTAAAACATCTCTTCAGATTTACATTTAGTGACTCTGGAACTGCTCTGTAACTGGATCAATGCACCCTTGATTTGTATCACCTCTGAGTGGTGGCATGCCCGCTGGCATCGGTCTGGGGAATCAACGAGTTGCACCCCGCCTGCGTCGCTAGATGAAGCGAAAATACGTAAGCGACCATGCTGACTCACGCTTCCACTGGCTGTCCCTCAACTGTCTCTCGTCAACACTTTTCACTCGGTCGAACAAGAAGTGCTGCCTCCTGGAGGGTCAGGAGGGCTTTTGGTAACTCTGCTTGCTTGGTGGGCTGTGCGGGCACGGGACCCGGCGAGGCCTACAGCCTGAGGCCCGGGTTCGTGGCTCCCACGTACTGCAGCAGCTCGTCGCTGTCCTCGCAGACGAAGGGCTTCTCGTGGTAGCAGGCCACGTCGTGCCAGCCGATGCCGTCGTTGTACACGTTGTTGAGCACGCTCAGGCAGGACTCGTTGGTGCCGTTGATGTCGAACTCGGCGTTGTCAGGCTGGCGCACCTTCTTGTGGCCGGTCTGTGACCAGGGGTTGTAGCCCCAGCCGGGAGGCACCTGGTTGGTCGGGGCCATCTTCCCGCGGGTGCCGGACCAGAACCAGCCGAAGATGCTCTTGGGCTCAAGGTCCCGTCGCTCCTCGCAGCCCTTGAAGTCGCAGAGACGACCAGATGTCCAGATGTAGGGGACGTCGTCTGGAACACGAGATGCATGCTGACCTTCAGGAGAGACGCTCCAGGAAAGGGATTTAGGTGAGCACTTTGGCCTTGGTGCCCCTTAACTCGACCTTTCTCACCTCTCTTATGTCGTTTCCTTTCTATTTCGCTTCCGAACCTGCCACCTCCCTCCCCCCTCCCCCCCCATGATGGTGAGCGCTAGCGGCGCTTGGCCTATCTGTCCCAGCATCTTAAGGCCGCTGCTGACTGTGCCCGCCCACGCTCAGTGCAGAGGGGATGGGGGGAGTGTGTGGGGGCGAGGGACGTGCCCAAACGCTTCCGTTCGAGAGCCGCTTCGTCTGTGAAGGGGCGAAGGG